TGATGGGTATTAAAGAGGGCACGTTCTGCGTGGAGCACTGGGTGTTATGCACAAACAATGCATCATGGAACACTACATCCAAGACTAATGATGTAATGTATGGTGATTAACATAACAATAAAAAATTTTTTAAAAAAAGAATTGACACCAGTCTTTTAGAAACTCTTCTAAAACCTAGAAGAGGAAGTAATGCTTCCCAGTTCATTCTATGAGGCCAGTATTACCCTGATACCAAAACCAGACACAAAGATATCACAAGAAAAGAAAACGACAGACCAAATTTAAATTAAGCTCTTTTGCTTGCTAAATTTAGAACTCAGATGATTATTTTTAAAACCACTCCCAAAATGGCTCAGAGGAACTGCTAAGCTGAGGCCTAAAAAAAGCCAATTCTACCAAATATGCAGTTTACACGCAGCACAGCCTGGCAGTGTTAAGCAAATTTTCCTCTAACCTGCCCCCTGCCCCCTGCCCCCTTTCTCCTCCTTTGATGAACTCTGAAAGTTATTCCCCAGCAAAAGGAAATGCTTCAAAACTCTAGTCACATCCTCTAATTAACTGTTATGACCCAAACAAAAGGAGCAGTCAGGCTTACAGCACAAGTGAGAGCAGGTACAAGTTATATCCTCCAACGACTCTTTCCTTTTTTAGAGGTTTCCTTTTTTAGGGAACCAGAGCTAGCTTATTCTCCCAAATCCTACTCCTCTGTCCGTCACATGTAAGATTCCTTCTGGACTTAAATGGTAGCAAAAACAAAGGCCACCACCACTGGCCTTCCCAAAACCACTGCAGCCAGGCCCCAAGTTAGAGATTCGGAATCAGCAGGAACAGAGTTAAAGCTTAGGAATCTGTATTTCAAAAATCTTTTCAAGTGTTTTAACAATCAGCTAAGTTTGGGAGGCTCTGATCCAAAGGATCCAAAATTAATATCAAAGACAGAGAACTCCATTTACCACTTCCTGCAGCCAACTGATCCCTTTTTCTCAGTTTCCTGACTACACAATGGGAGTTGTGTTTCAGATCACTGACATTCGCCACAATCATGTGCCTCCTAAATGAAACCTAGTACTTGCTATACTTATAGGATTAGGACATGGTAATGCCAACTACTCTCCTGACAATGGAATCAAAGGGGACCTATCAACATGATAGTATTACACACAACTCCTCTATCCCAACCCAAACTTAAAGAGCCTGCAGAGGTGTGAGTGTATAAAAGCTCCAATAACACAGAAGCCCTGGTCTGTTTTTCTACCTTTGGCTTCCCAGAAAGAATCTGACCCCTTAAATTAAGAATTTCTTTTAGAGGGGCACCTGGCTGGCCCTGTCAGTACAGCAACTCTTGATTTCAGGGCTGTGAGTTCAAGCCCCACATTGGGTGTAGAGATCACTTAAAAATAAAATTTTAAAAAAAAAAAAAAAAAAGGAATTTCTTTTATTTCTTCTGCTTGCTACCAGAACCTCATTGTAGGCATCCTCTGAGTCAGAAAAGATGTCATCCCGGGGCGCCTGGGTGGCTCAGTCGTTAAGCATCTGCCTTTGGCTCAGGTAGTGATCTCAGGGTCCTGGGATCAGGCCCCACATCAGGCTCCCTGCTCCGCGGGAAGCCTGCTTCTCCCTCTCCCACTCCCCCTGCTTGTGTTCCCTCTCTCGCTGTGTCTCTCTCTGTCAAATAAAGAAAATCTTTAAAACAAACAAACAAAAAGATTTAAAGAGAAAAAAAAAGGTGTCGTCCTCCCAACAACAAATTGTTATTAGTTAGGAAGAAACTAAAAGGAGATCTATCACAATTAGAAAAACAGAAGTAATAATGCCTTAATCATGCAACTAGTATCTGGGGGCCTACTATATACAAAGCAACTTCCTACTCAGCAACATGATAAAAAGAGGTATAAATCTTGTCCATTTCCTCAACCAACTAGCTGAGGTAAGACAAACTTTTTTAAAAGATATGTTTGTGTTACAATCACCTACAAAAATCTCTATGTTCATAGTAGCATTGCTCCTGATAGCCATTAAGACAGAAACAACCCATGTCCATCAACTGACAAATGGCTAAAATGTGCTATAGCCACACATGGAATATCATTTGACAGTAAAAAGAAATGATGTACTACTAATACATGCTACAACTTGGATAAACCAAGCTAAGAAGCCAGTCACAAAGGACTACATGTTGTATGATTCCATGTACACAAAATGTCCAGAATAGGCAAATCCATAGACAGAAGTAGACTGCTGGTTGCCTTGAGCAGGAGAGAATGAGAGAAAATGAGAAGTGACTAATTAGTGGGAGCCAGGTTTCCTTCTGCGGTGATAAAAATGTTCTAAAATTGATTGCACAGTTCCATGAAGACAAAACACCACTGAATTGTACACTTTGAAATGCTGAGATCTATGCTACGTGAATTGTATCTCAATAAAGTTGTTATAAAAACATGTCATTACCTACTAAAGCTTAACACATGTGCATTCCCTATGGCCCATAAATTCTACTTCTAAATGTACACCTAATAAAAATGGTACATATATTTACCAAGAAACATGTACTAAAATATTCAAAGAAGCATTATTTGCAATAGCCAAAAAGTGGGAAACAATCCAAAATTTCTAACGACAATCTATAACCAGAGTGGGATAGTACACAACAATAGGAATGAATAAACTATTGCTTCTTACAACTGCACAGATGAATTTCACTAACATTGTTAGGCAGAAGAAGCCAGATACAAAAGACTACATAATGTATGTACTTATATACCATTCAAATACAAGTCAAAAACAGGCCAAAAATCAACCGTGGTGTTAAAAACCAGGACTGATTACCAGCAGGTGGGGCAGTGGGGGATGGATGAGGGCAGAAGGGATGCATCAGACAGTTCTGTTAAGCTTTTCATCATCTGACTACCAATTACACAGGTATGCTCACTCTTGAAAATATATACAATTGTATACTTACATAACTTATACATTTTTTGGATCTTATACTTCAACACAGAATTTACTTAAAGAGACACAAGAGGGGGGGCACCTGGGTGGCTCAGTTGGTTGAGTGTCTGACTCTTGATTTCGGCTCAGGTCATGATCTCAGGGTCCTGAGATCGAGCCCCACATCAGGCTCCCTGCTGAGCGTGGAGCCTGCTTAAGATTCTCTCTCTCCCCCCTCTGTCCCTCTCCACCCCTTCCCTCTATTGAAAAAAAAAAAAAAAAATAGAGTGAGAGAGAAATGTCTACAACAGAAGACCACAAAAAAAAAAATCCAAATGTGTACTGTCACATCTCATGTTCCTCCAGTGCTCTGAATCTAAAGGTGTCCAGGAAACATCCCTACCTCTACCTTGGCTCCAGAAAGGATGAAGTTCTCTGAACAGAAAGGAACAATTTCACTGCCACTCACCTGGGCTTTCTCTCTCTTTGCTCTGATCAGTGTGTCTTGGTAATGCTGGGCCACCTCTGTAAGGACTCCCTCAAGTTTGGCCGCAGGAATCTGCAGGGCCTGTAGAGTCTTTTGAGCATCACCTTCATCCAGGGCTTCATTAATTAAACCAATGGCTAAAATCCCTAAATATGAAAGGACAAAGGTTATTTTTTTATTAAGAAATTATATAAACACATCAATTTTTAAACATGCTAAGTAATCAGAAATCCATTCAAGCATTATCATGATTCAAATTATAATTTGCCACCTATAGTATTAAGCAGCATTTAAATTTTTTGAAAATTTAGGTTTGTTTCATTTAAAATAAACTCCCTGGCATCCATACTCCCATTGAAACCTCAAGTCTGTTTTATTTTTAATTGCTCTAATGTGAAAGTAAAGAGAATTTTGATAAAACTGGCTTTAATAGTATAGCTTTCAAGTACATTCCAATGTGTGATCAAAACCATTTCTGATTCACAAAATGTTAGAGTTCAAGGAATCGTAAAAAGTCACCTGATTCAACATCTTTAAGAAAAGATGAGGCTCAGATTTCTTCCTCGAAATTCCACTGTACAAGCAGAGGCAGATGCGACCCCAGGGCTCCCCACCCTAAGGCAAGGCTCTTCTCACCAAATCAATGGAATATTTCTCACAGGAAATACAAATTAAAACTAGAAATATTCACTTCTCAGGTATATCAGGCAGCTGTGCTACTTTTGTAAAGATTCTGTGGTATAATAAAAACTTGGCTGACCTTTGACCCCAGTTACTGGGAAGGAGCCTCGAACCTCCATTAGAATTTCCTAAATGATTGGACTATCTGTTATTCAGGCTTCTAGGACCCAAGTTTATACTAACAAGGTGGGCGCCTGGATAGTCTCAGGATGAGGGCTGGTCAGGCTGGAAAGACCAACCATGTGATCAGAATACCAGGGCTTTGAGCCCCATGATATTGTGGTATCAGCCCAGCCTACCTATCTCCAGGGAGGGGAGGTGGACTGGAAATGGAGTTTAATTACATGGCCACTAGTCAATCCTTCACAATCATCCTTGAAAACCTCTGGCTACCCAAAGTTCAGAAGAGCCTCCCTGATTGTGATACACACCGTGAGGACACATAAGCTTGGCATTTGAGACCCTACTATATTTGGAATCACCTTATAGGTCTCCTGTTTTGGCCAGTCCTGATTTGTATCCTTTCCAGGAAAACTATAATCATAAATACAGCACTTCCTTGAGTTCTGCTAAGTCCCTCTAGCAAATTATTGAATCTGAGGGGGGTGTTGAGGGAAGCTCTGAGTTTATAGCCAGTTGCTCAGAAGTGTCGTGACCTGGGAACTCCTCAGAGCTTGTGGCTGGTATCTGAAATGAGAGGAGTCTTATGGAAGTCTGAACCCTACACCCATGCAAGATGACCTAACTCAGAGTGGTTAGTGTCAGAACTACTTGTTATAAAACATTTAAAAATAACAGATCATGTTCAGGGGCGCCTGGGTGGCTCAGTCATTAGGCCTCTGCCTTCAGCTCAGGTCATGATCCCGGGGTCCTGGGGTCGAGCCCCACATCAGGCTCCCTGCTCAGCGGGAAGCCTGCTTCTCCCTCTCCCACTCCCCCTGCTTGTGTTCCCTTTCTCGCTGCCTCTCTCTCTCTCTGTCAAATAAATAAATAAAATATTTAAAAGAAACAACAACAACCAGATCACGTTTAAGTCACCTCCTGGAAACTTAGTTCTTATTACATACATACCCAACTGTAGCAGTTGCCTCATGTTTTGAAAATACCCAACCTCAGTTTTTTGTCACACACACACACACACACACACACACACACACACACTCACATACACAATTTCCAAAAAATCTTTCTAGGAGTAGTGTTTAGAACCAGTTCATGGGATCACACACATCTTTAATAGTTTCATTATTTGAGGGGATGGTTACACAGATTACTCACTCTCATGTTCCTCCTGCACCACCAGATTCACATGGTCCACACAGGCTTGGATGTCATTCCATGTAATAAATGCATTATTTTCTGCGTGTGCCTGAGTTTTCAGTTTCATCAGCTCATCGAGATACCTGCCCCATTCCCCCAACAAAAAAGACAATGAAGTGCAATGTAAGAAAAGGGACCTTCAGGATTATCAGGGATGACAGGAACGGGAAGACCGAGACAAAGTATCCAAAGAACAAAGACAGCTAAGGTACTCCCATAGCTTCACATACTCTAGAGAACAACTCTGAGACTGAGGAGTTACCTTCAACAAAATGTGAAAATATAAGGATATCACTTATTCTTTCTCTTTTAAATTTTTTTGTTTTTGTTTGTTTAAGTAATCTCTACACACAATGTGGGGCTCAAACTCACAACCCCAAGGTCAAGAGTCGCACACTCCTCTGATTGAGCCAGCTAGGCACCCCCAGAATATCACTTATTCTTAACAGTCTGTTACATGTTCTAAATTCCAGGTATCACCAGCTAAGAATCAAAGGCAGTATCTTAAGCAATTCCTCTAAAGACAAGAAAACAAGGCCATATACCAGCTAACAAAAGTAGAAGGAAGGATAAATCAAGATATCATCCTTAGGGGAGCCGGGCTGGCTCAGTTAGTACAACATGCAACTCTTGATCTTGGGGTTGTAAGTTCAAGCCGCATGTAGGGGCTTAACAAAACAAAACACAGATATCATCATTAAGTAACTCTTATTGATAAAGTATTGATTTAGACAAGGATTATCAACTGGGGTTAAAAATATTAGGTGATTGTTAATGGGGAACTGGACATTGAGGTGCAAAGGTGCAAAGAGATTATGCTACGGGAAAAACATAAATATACGTTAAGAGGGGTAAACTGTCTCCCTGATTCAAGGATCAATCTTAGTATCTCTAACGGTGACACATGTAGATTTTATATGCCTCTAGTTAAGAGAAACTATTAAATACACAAACCAAAAACGCTTACTCGATCTTGAAAGCCTTTAGATCTAATTTCCAATTCACAGAAATAAGCCAAATATCAGGAAGCAATCAGAACCAGAAGGTGGAACATTTTATAGGACAACTGGTCCCATCTCTTTAACAAGTCAGTTTCATGAAGAAAGGAACAATGCTAGATTAAAAGATACCTAAGTGGTACAAAAGTCAGATGTAACACATAGCCCTGCACTGGATCCTGGTGTGAAGAAACCAAGTGAAAAGGACAGTTTTGGAACAAGTGAGGAAGTATGAAAATGGACTAGGTTCAGCAGATATTTAAGAATTCTTTATTTCATCAGGGTATAAGATAGTACTATTTTGGCTCTATAATAAACATCCTCATTGTTTTAGATAAGCATACTTAGGAGTGGAATGCCATGATATAATTTACTATAAATCCTCCAGCATAATAAAGAATAAAATGAATCAAAATAGAAAAAAAAAGAAAAAAACGGATCGCACACTAAAGTCACAATGCCTGACAACAGGAGAGCTGACACCCAAAAATGGATCCCATCTACCACTCTGCGCACCCACCTCTGACAGTTATCTTCTTCGATATTGGTAAGGCCTGTCACCGAACTGCTCAACTGTTTCCACACTGTGTTCATGTCCCCCGACTCCAGCGCCCTGTTGATCAGGGCCACGGATGACAGCATCTCTACTGCTACAGACAGCTCAGGATGGGTGAGGCTGTGCTGCACAGAGACCGGAGGGGGGGGTGGTGGGAGGTGAGGATATAGACATTCTTGGATACCGACAGAAGTCAGAAGTTCAAGTAAGCCATAAGCAGTCTAAGTTTCTGGTTTAAAAAAAAAAAAAAAAAGCCCCGCCAACCACACTGAGAAGTGGGTGTGAAGTTCACTTCTACTCCATTCTGCTCACTAACAGGACAGGTTGGGCTGACTTACCTCAGGACTCTGTTGCTGCAGCGTAACCAGCTCTTTCTGATAAAGATCGGCCGCAAACGGATACACCTGGGGCAGCTGGGCCTCAGGATTCATAAGCTCCAGAACAGTCTTCTCAGCAACACCCTTCTGGATGGCAGCGTTGATTGCTGCCACGGCTGCCAATCCTGAGTAGAAAACGGGCCAGAAATGCAGCTGGCTTAGGAAGCCCCCAGGGGAAGTAGAGGCGGTTTTCACAGGAGAAAGTTATATTCTGTGGATGGACTATTAGCCAGGATGTTTGAAGTGGAGCTTTCATCTTTAAAAAACAGCCCCCCACTTTGTATGAAGGTGAACTGTTGGCTATGCCAACTATATCCCAATAAAGCCGTTTTCCACTCCAATTCATCCTGCGACTCTCCTCTGAAAACATCTCTTCCATCCCGTGCAGCCCGGAGAATCAAGGACCAGCTTCTTAAGCAGCCATTCAAAGGTTTCCACAGTCTTTCTAAGCCTTTATCTTATACAACTCGGCCCCAAATATCTACAGAAATTTTATTTTCACCACTGTTGCTTCAATACATCCTTCATCATCTGTATCTCTGCTCACACTTCCTTTTTCTTGCTCACACTTCCTTTTTCTCTCTGCCCATGTTGGCAACATCCTTCTCTCTCTTCCACCATCCAGATCTCACCCAGCAAACCCCTTAAGTCTCACCGCCTCCAACGCTCAAGTGCTTCCAAGCCAAAGTGAGCCCACGTGGACTCCAGTTCTACTCTGAAAACCAGAGGAGCTCTCCTGCCAAAGGCCCCTGGTACTCAATTATGGCTAGCAGGCTTGGGGTGGGGGTGAGGAGTGATGGGATCTGACCTCAGATGCCCCAGTGGACCTAAGCCCTACTCAGGATCTCAGGGAGTGGACTCTTACTTCTCTGATACTGCTGGGCAGCACCGTTTGCAGCATCCACACCAGACTGGAGCTCCTCCTTCTGTAGGGGATCAGCCTGACCACCCTGAGGAAAGCAAAGAACATTTATGTGCAGATTCTCATGCCTGTGGTATGTGCAGATTCTCAGGCCTGTGCCTCCAGGCCTTACAGTGGTTATCTCAACAGTAGTCACAGGGACGAAGAACCATGGGCCTAAATGACAGCGTCAGGCTACGTGCAGAGAAGCGGCAGTCCTAGTGAGAGCCAAAGCCCCTGCCAAATACGGCAGAATGGCTTTCCAGATACCAGCACATAAAAAAAGATAGTTTGTGAGAAGCATCAAAATATTGACATAAGATATTTACAGACTCATTAGCACATTAATGCTGCTTACTTTGGCCAATATATGCTGGGAATCTGCAAAATGTACATTTGTTTGTCCTCATTCAGACAAAAAAGAAAGCCACTCATATTTGTCCTACAAACCCCACTAAGTACAATTCCACAGTCTACTCTTACTGCACGTTACGTGCTTTCCCAGTGCTGGCCAGAGGAAACTAGTTGACACTGGCTTTCTTTTAAGTAGAAAGTCCTGAAGTAAGAATGTGAAAGAGATTCAGGTTTTCCCCCATGGCTTTGAGTCGGGGAATTAAGAAGGATGCTTCAAGTGAAGGGGTGGTTAGGTTCGGAGGGCAGGTACTACTTGTTTAAGAGGGTTTACAACTGGAAAAGTGAAAGGGGACTAAAAATGTGTTATCTTACCTGAGGATATCTTAAAAACCTACATTTATATGCAGGAAAGAAAGTCGTACTAAAAACTATGGGTTATAGTCTAACGACAGGGAAAAAAGGCCAGCACAGGATCCGCATGGATCTACGTGAACGCCCACAGGTTCGGCCCACCACACTACCTGTCTTTTCTGCTGCCTGTCGCTCAGGAGCTGCTTGAGGTACCAGTCCCCGTTCTGCTGCTGCAGCCCTCGAAGGCCCAGAGCTGGAGACTGCAGGGCCTTGAACAAGGCCAGTGCCACGCCCTGCTCCAAAGCCAGGTCCACGCTTGCTAAGGCGGAAGATGCTGCGGAGAGGAAAAGGCCACCGCTTATGAAAACACTTGGTGAGCATCACAGCCTAGAATACTTTTCCTTCCCCACAACCAAACTCAATTTCAGATGAGGGAAATATAGATCAGATGGCCTTTATTCTGGAATATCATGGAAGCACAAGATCTTGGGATTGGAACAGGACCTTCAAGTCCTCAAGTCCAGGGGCCCCCAGCCGGGCTGTTCGTCAGTTAACAGATTCCTAGACCATGCCTCAGGCCTACTAAAAAGCTGCCAGATGTAGACACCTTGGCACCAATGTGGGGTAGCAATATAAGACGCACCAATCCAAACCAATGCATGTCTAAATGCCCTCTAAATGCCAAGTTATTGTCTAGATGAAACTACTAAACAGGAGGAGGTTTCTCCCACAGCAATTTACTACATCTTTGAGCAATTTTGCTTAAAAAAACAAAACAAAAACAAAACTGTGAAAGCTTCCACCCTAGTGTTGATGCTTGAAAACATCCAGTCCCGCTTTCCCTCTGACAGTCCACCCCAGACTAAAGAGCCTTCGTTCCTTCTTAATAGCGTCATCTGAATCCCTTCATTACCCCGCTACCTCCTGAACACATTCCACCAGGACAGTGAGGGCCCAGAGAGCAAGGGTGGTCTGACCGCGGGGAATGGTGGGGGCTATCTACACCCTCTCGATACACTCTACTTCTCGTCATAGAACCTGAGGTCACACAGGGTCTTTTAACATCTGGCAGTGAAAACCTAGATGTTCCTTCATCTGAAAACAATAAAGACAAGTTCCTCACAGTGTTGTTAAGATTAAACGAAATCACATACATGAAAGCACTTTGTATATTGCAAAATAAATAAGGTATTAGGTTGGCAGTCAGAAAAAGGTATTTTCTGACTTCAAAAATAATAGCCAGTGGCAAGTGATCATTACTGTATTATTTTCAGTTTCCCTATTTTTATAAGAGAAAACAGAGTTCTCCCTCCATGCTCCACCCAAGGGATCTGATTTTATCACCAAAGTAGCAAAACAAATCAGTAACAACATACTAAAAATAAAAATATTTGGGGCAGAGCAGCACTTAAAAATTTTAAGTGTTTTAATGTTAGTAAAGAAAAAAAAGAAAAAGAAATATAAAGTGTTAAAAGGAAAATTTTAAATCTCTGGATTTGTAGTCTCACTGTAGACTCCTGAGAAGACTATTCACGCCTCTCCAATGATTACACCTGCAGTTCAGCTAACTCATCACCACACCAAGGTGAAGGCTCCTTGAGTCGGTCCACATGACCATTAGCCAACTCATCATCCATTCCCTCAACAGCATTTACTGAGCACCAGCTTTGTGCTGCAAATAACAGCTGTGAACAAAACAAATGATCTCTGTCTCGGTGGAGCTTTTACAGGAGTGGGGACAGAAAAGAAACAAAATCAATACAGGTAAACAACCAGGCTTTTTCTAGGTATGCGATGTAGAATCTCAGATCATCTATCTACAAAAGCATCTAGTCGATTATGCTTTTACTAGAAGCATACTTACTACATAAATAGGTAAATATTTAAATAAACATAACATTCACACTATAAAGATGATAAAGTTTAGAACATTATTTAAATACTTTCTTCCACTAAGCTTTAACTAATTTTCCGTGTTCTACAAAAAAAGTAAATAAAAGCTTATTCTCATTTTTAACTATTTGGCCTGCAGCTTTCTCCCAGGGCAGTGGCTTCAATGCTGGTTTTCTTACCCTCAGGGAAAGAATCTTATCTATAATTATGTTAAGATAATTCCTGGGGAGTAAAGTTCCCTTATCTTCCTAGCACACAACTTTCTCTTGCCTTCAGACTTGGCTCTACGATTAGGAAAAGACTGTCACTCTCTGGGGAATCCTGCCCTATCCTCACCTTATCTATCCAGTGAAAGTTCTTATACAAACCTCCAAGCAGAAGACATTATTCCGGTCTTTTTCTATGACTGTACCTCATACACCTTTGATACACTGTTCTAAGCAAGTTACCCTGAAATTACTCATTTGCATGTCTATCTTCCCTACCACGTTGAAAGCTACTTGAGGGAATTTTTTGAAAAGAAGTATTTATTTATTTTAGAGAGAGAGGAGTGGAGAGGGAAGGGCAGAGGGAGAGGAAGTGAAAGGGAAAGAATCTCAAGCACAACACAGGGCTCCATCTCACGGCCCTGAGATCATAACCTGAGACCTAGTCGATGTTTAACCCACTGAGCTACCCGGGCGCCCCTGAATGGAACACTTTAAAAACATACAGCTATGTCTCTTCCCTGACAGGTTTATAATTGACTCTCACAGACTTAGCCAGGTAAAGCTACAGTGGTTATAAAATCCTAAACAACATAGTAGGAAAAAAACACCTTTGGGCGCCTGGGTGGTTCAGATGGTTAAGCGTCTGCCTTCAGCTCAGGTCATGATCCCGGGGTTCTGGGATCGGGTCCCACATCAGGCTCCCTGCTCAGCGGGAAGCCTGCTTTTCCCTCTGCCTCTCTCTCTCTCTCTCTCATGAATAAATAAATAAAATCTTTAAAAAAAAAAGAAAGAAAAAACACCCTTATTAAAACAAAGAGTGTTTTATGCAGTGTACGTAGCAGGAAACATGCCGGACTTCCTTCTCACAGAGACAACTATTGCTGGCTTAAATATTCATACAGATACAGCACAACACATCACCCATATGTGAATGGAACTATTACTCCGTCCAGAAAACCATTATCTTAAATGAACCAGAATGGAACAGAATACAAAGACTCCTGGTCAGGATTTAGAGCCCCTGATCATACGGAGTTCGTAAAATCTTATAGTCTCTCTAGTTAGGGTTTTATTCTGTTCCTTGAACCAAGTATTGGTTCAAGGGAGAATTAGTGCCTCCCAATGAACAGAGGGGACAAGGATTACTATTACTATTGTAATTATTATCTTGAGCAAAGCAAGGTCAAGCCTGGTTGAAATCAAATAAGCTTTTTAGTTCTTTTGGTGAGTCTAACCATTACACTAGGAATTACAGGGATTTCAAAAGAAGCAGAACTCTTAAGTAATCCGTACTAGGAGTTTATAGAGATGTCAGAAACAAAGGCAAGCAATAGAAGACAATATGCAATTGCGTAGAAAATTATGTAGTTGGTTTATAAATGGCACGGGAGAGCTGGAATGGGGCAGGTGAGAATTGCGCTGGACCGCGACCAAAGACCGGCTAATTTGGGTCAGGTAAGAGATAAGGGATGAGGGCATTGTACTGAGAATACACGATTAGCAAAAGCTATGATAATGCTAATGTTTACTGAGTACTCACTAAATACCAGGCAATTTACATGCATTATCTCACCATCTGCAGGACAAGTCTGTGCCACAGGGGTCCCATGTCACAAAGCTATTAGTAAGAAGCCAAGAGACCAAGTTCCTGGTCTGAGCCACTCCAGAGAGGGATTCTTTCATGAGTCATGAAAGGAACAGATGAATATGGGAGACAATTAGGCAAATGAGTTTGTATAGAGAGTTGTATGCATAAAATACCACATAAAAAACTCCCCTAGGCTAGGGGTCTGCGTTTTGTCCTGCAAGTGATGAGGAACCAATGCAGGTACTTTAGCGGGAGAGTGACAAAATGAAAATGACACTTTCAAGACATTTAACTCCTCAAAAGTATATAGCACATACATACAAAACTCAGTATGAATGGTATAATCTCATTTTTGTTTAAATGTTTTTAAAGATACGCATAAAAAGATCAATAGTAATGAGGCACCCGGGTGGTTCAGCCGGTTAATCATCTGACTGCTTAGGTCTTGATCTCAGGGTCATGAGTTCAAGCCCCGTGTTGGGCCCCATGCTGAGCATGGAGCCTACTTAAAAAAATAAGGAAAAATAAAATCCCTATTTAGATTTTTTTAAAGTGTATTAATACAGGGTAAAAGAGTGAAACTAGCCAACAAGATGAGTCCAGAAGCTACAGCAGATGAGCAAATAGAGGGCGGGCCTGCCTCTGAGGACGATAGCAGCTGAAACAGAAGATACATGAACACAAAAAACAGTAGCAAGCAATAGTTCCGAAACAAATCCACTAATGTCTAAAACAAACTTGGGGTGCTTGCGTATCTCAGTCAGCTAAGAGTCTGCCTTCAGCTCAGGTCATGATCGCAGGGTCCTGAGATCAAGTACCGCGTTGGGTTCCTTGGTCAGTGGGAAGCCTGCTTTTCCCTCTGCCTGCCACTCTCCCGGGTTGTGCTCTCTCTCTGACAAATAAATGAGTAAAGTCTTAAAAAAATAAAAATAAAAATAGATCAACACTCACATTATTCTGTAACATCCCCGCAGGTACCCAACTAAGGGACATACTTACTATTGACTTTGTTTATATTGCCTTGAATTTCAGCTTGAGTGAGCAGCTCCTCATAAACGTCCCTTTCCCTCTCAGAGTTTTCTGTCTGAAGATGAATAAAAAGTGTAATAAATCAGCTCAGGTCTCTAGGAAGACCTCAGAAACACCTGACCTCCCACAACCATGAGAGAACAAAGAGGAAGGGTGTTACACAACTCTTAACTGAAAACATAAGAGCAGATCCACTTGTTAATGACAAGCCCAAGAGTGCTTCCAGAGGTGGGCATAAGCAGGAAGCACTGGCGAACCCTGCCCTGCTCACTCGGGAGCCTGCATCCTTGCCTCAGACCTGAGCAGAATGGGCACCCCCAAGGTCCAGATCTCAGAACTTCTCATTGCTGTGCACAAAATTCAAGAATAAAGTAAAAGTCAAAATGGAATCTAATACCAAAAGACTGCATACTGTGTAAATCCATTTCATTTATATGTAATTCTTAAAAAGGTAAATATAGTGATCAGTTCAGACTGGAAGTTGCCTGGGGCCAAGGTGGGGAGTGGAGGGCAGTAGAGGCTGACTATGAAGAAGGACCTGGGGCTTTGAGGATGATGGGTTTTGTAACCACACACGTTTGTCAAAACCAATCAAACCATACATGTAAAATGAGTAAATTTTACTGTGTGTAAATTATACTCCAAGAAAATGGGTTTTAAAAATGGAGTCATATCAAACAATGTAAGAATATAAATCAATTAGAAAGAAGAAATGTTCCATTTTTACCCTGTTTTTAGCGTTGGTCATTTTCTCCTGCTTGGCCTGATAAAGCACATCCTGGTAAGTGGAAGCCAAGGGCTCTTCGAGATTTACAAGCATGGCGTTCGGGTTTCTCAGAGCCACAAATGTGTCAGCTGGAATTCTACGGTCAACAGCCTCATTAATGGCAATAACAGCAGCATGCACTAAGAAGAAAAAAAAAATTCAAAACATAGAACACTGGGGTTATATAGAGTAAGGGACGTACATGACATATCCAGAACAACATCATAACCCCCTATTGCAGGAAAAGGCTCGTTTTGATAGAGAAAAGATGACTGGGGTTGGAGGAATGGCTTCCTGAATCCTGTAAGCCTAGTCTCTTCCTGGATGCACAAAGGCCAAAGCTCTCCCTGTGATCCCATGCCTGGGATGCTGAGTTTGGAAACTTACAGGGAAATATTTGTTAAAGAGCCTTGCAAGGAGCAGGTATTATGGAAATGTTCACCCTTCATCATCATGTAAGTACCATTAAAAAAAAAATAATAAGAAAAACCCAAAGAGGCACTGAAACGTAGAACTCACTTCCTAAATGCTTTCATTTTGATCGAAATCACTCATTTACTTCCAAATAACAATAGCACAGAAGCCCGTAGCAGTGTTAAACTACCTCTACCGACCTAAGCTTGCTAACAAAATTCCTAACGTCCAGGACCATCACAGTATCCATGACTGAAAGTGGTAGCAACAATTCCATGTGAACCCACAAAATTTCTCTCTGCTTACATGCGGCTTCATCCACTGAGAGTTCGTTAGCCAGGATGCCCCCGATCTTGCTGAAGGCGGGCATCTGGATCCCGTACTTCTCCAGTTCAATCTTCATATTGTTGATTTCCTCTTCTACAGGAAAAGATAAAAGACCCAGGTGAGCAAGTTAGGCACCTTTCCAGAACTCAGAGAAGGAAACAGATTCCCCAACTACAAAACGGGATAAAGTGGTGGCTACCTCCTAGGATTATGAGGATTTAATGAGATGATATACGGAAAGCACTGAACATAGCACCAGCACAAAGCATACACTCAGTAAACATTATTATTACTATTATCAAGAGCATCAAAACTCAGTATAACATGAGAAACAGCCCTACAGAAAAAAAGAGTTTCTCAAAACTGCTCCTTCTGGCATTTTCTACAATGAACTTCCAAATGGAGCAGCTTTGAAGGGAGCTCAGCAACAAGTGACCCACAAGCCAGCCAGATGTCTTTACACGCCAAGTCACTAGCCGCGATTAAACTATTCTGCTTCCAAGGCAGGGAGCCAAATGATAAAGAAAACAACACGTAAGGTTTGGCCCTTTGCCCCAGGTCTGGTGAACAACTTCCCCAGAAGGAAAAATGTCATAGATAAAAGTTTTATTAAATTTAAAATTCCCAAGCCTACAAAATAATGACCAGTTCAAAATATTTGAATCTATATTACCCCTAACCGATATTACTACTGTTCTTTTTCTCCCCAAGCCATCTCGTCAAGCATCTGACAAGAGCAAATACACATAGAATAAGGTAAAAAAGCTAATTTTTTAATTACTCAATTGTCACCCTTTGCTTTGACCACCATAGGTACTTGCTAAAATGAGAGAACCAAGTTTGAAATTCCAAGTTTAGTGGTCTTCTCAACGCACACAGGAGAAGCAAGTTATTTATACTTCTTTGATCTCTTGTTGCCAGGTTTTATTAAAGCCCTATGTCTTTGATTGGTATTGTTGACTCTCCAGGCTATTTCCACATAAATCAAGCATTTCCTGCCAAGTTTGTAACTCCTTACCTGTGAAGTCAACCTTTCCATATAGGTCTTGAATCTGAGGAGCCAGGCCCAGTTTGAAGAGGTACAAACTAGAAGACATGATGTGCAGGAAGAGTTAGGCCTCCCAGCTGCACCTAGCTGCTACTCTTAGATTAACGGGGAAAGTCAGCAGAAAGAACAAACATTCTGAACATACCCCTGCATGCTACCATATTCCCCTCTGCAGTTACCGTACTTTATCTCAGAACCTTTTCTTAGTTTTACATAATATTGTCCTAGAAAGTCACATAATGCAATGCAAAAAGCACTGGACTGGGAATCAGAAGACACAAGTTCGAGTCCCAGTTCTGGTACAAATCCAGTGTGTAATTTGATGTTAACATACATGTGAATATAATTAATCTAAGTGGAGAAATCTTCACTTCTGTCCACCTTCCTGTGATCAATAAGTTTTAACTAACAAGATATTTATAACAGTGTCATGAAAATGATTCAAATAAAAAGTCTTATTTAAACTGAATTCATATTACCGATGGAAATAGTTCAGGTAATTTATGAGTTTTAAACAAACATTATGTATCTTTACTGTTTAAGTAAAAAAAGAAATCTATTCGACTTGAAATCTCATGAAGGCAGGAATAAAAGTCTTGTTCACCAATGTCTACCCGGAACTTGGCATATATTAATAAATATTAACATTTCACAGATGGACAGATGGATAAGTAAATGTCTATAAGCCTGAATTAGCCTAACTGGATTCTAAGGACCTAGCAGATCAGAACCAACAAATTAGAAGTGTATTTGACAGGGGCGCCTGGGAGGCTCAGTCATTAAGCGTCTGCTTTCGGCTCAGGTCATGGTCCCAGGGTCCTGGGATCAAGCCCCACCATCAGGCTCTCTGCTTTGCGGGAAGCCTGCTTCTCCCTCTCCCACTCCCCCTAATTGTGTTTCCTCTCTCACTGTCTCTCTCTAATAAATAAATAAAATCTTAAAAAAAAAAAAAAAGACGTGTACTTGACAGGGATGGACACAAGCAAGACACTGACGGCCTAGCAATAAGGGAATAAATTAAAAGACACCCAAGAAAGAAATCACAGTAACTCAACAGTGACCTACAGTTTTTGGAAATAATCTATAAACCTCAGTTTGATCTAAACACAAATATGCATCATGTATACTGCATTCACAGAACTGATCAGAACTTAAATTGTATAATCTAAAAAAAGTCAAGTATTCTGAAAATACATTCGAATTTATACATTCAGAGTAGCTAATTATTTTCTCAGAAAAATACAAGTATGAATCATCTGTATATGATTAAGTGTTTTTTTTAGAGTAAAATGCTCAAAATGGAACTATTATAAAGTTTCTCTCTCAAAAGATTTTAAATCTATTCAACAAGTTTTCCAAACCAAAATGGCCAATAACATTCTATACCTGTCATATGTCCCTATTATATATATTATTTCTCCCACATAATATGTCCCACCTGCATTCCAAATTAGTAAGAATACTTTTCTTCAGGAACCCTCTTTTATTTCTACTTGGAAAGAGCAAAGTGGCTTCCACACTTTAAGAAATTTCAAGAATGTCACTTTTACAAGCCCAAGAAGAGTGAGTTCACTTTTAAGATCTTTTGATGGTAAATTAAAGTTGTTACGATATCCCTGGCTGATATGAATAAAGTAGAGGAGAAGCTAAGACACAGGCACCATCTTTCTTTTATCTCAATTACTGGGAATATTTTAAGGAGGTGCTGGAGTTATGAATATAACCACAATGGACACTCAGACCCTCTGGCCCAGAACCGAGACAGTACTCAACCTCAAAGTTGAAACTTTCAATCCTACCAGTAAACACCCCTGTCCATTCTTTGCTCCTGTTCTCCCTTCTTTTACAAATAAAACTGTTAGGTGCCTACAACAGTCAGCCTGTGATTGAGCTCAGGTTCATTCTTTTCTTTTTTCCCACCAAAGGTGTACTTTATAGCAATGGGGGAAAGGAGGCTGTGGATTCCTAATATCTTTGCTGCCGGCAGAGTAACCTGAAAGAAGTCACTATGCTGATCTCAAAGACTGTTAATAAAGGCTCTTAAACACAAACATAGCAGTTGCTTAGGAAACAGACTCTAATACAGTCCACAATCCCTGATCTAAATTCTTTGGGCCAGATATGAATTTAGGATTTCTCAGGTATTAGAAAGGTTTTATAGTATATACAGTATTATATCATGTCTGTTTACTTAAGTATATACAGTATTATAAAACATGCCAGCAAGCCTTGAAGCAGCACCTCTAAATAAATACATTACTTTTCTGCAGAGAAACATACACATAATCACAGTAAGCAGACTATTATTCTAAATAACTTCAATTAATTCTGATCAGATTTTGCCAACAAATGAGTCGGAACCAAATATAATTTGCAGCTTTTACATTTCTTTTGAATTTAGGATGTAGGATTATGGGCCAATTTAACCCCAAAATCAGTTCTTAAAAAGATAAAACATCAGAGAAAATGGAAATAAAGTATACAAATATACATGAAATAATAATAAAGAATTGGGGTGTTGGGGCGCCCGGGTGGCTCAGTCAGTTAAGCGTCTGTCTTCAGCTCAGGGTCCAGGGATCGAGTCCTGCATCGGGCTCCCTGCTCAGTGGGGAGTCTGCTTCTCCCTCTCTGCAATATCCCTGCTTGTGCTCTCTCTCTCATAAATAATTGGTCAAAAAAAGAAAAAAAGAATTGGGGTCTTATCTGAGGGTGGAATGTAATCCATAAAAGTAATTTAGCAGGACTAAATAGGGTGACTATCTCTGGAGTAATGCCAGTCAAGACGAAAGAGAGAGAGAGAGAGAGAGAAAGATAGAAAGAAAGAGATAAAGAAAAGAAAGAAAAGAAAGACAGACAGACAGGCAGGCAGGCAAGCAGGCAGAAAACAGGGAGATAATGTTTTTCTGTCACTGCAAATCCAAAAGGGAGAAGGGGCCTAACCGCACACAGTGAAGTGAGGAGCCTGCCTGGAACACTGTTGTACTACACGGTTGAAGAAGAGGCTCCAAGCAGGTATAAACTGCCTACATATCTACGGCTGCCAATGCTTCAGGAAAAACACTCCAGGGAGGAAAGAAATCATAAATCACCAACCAGAACACATTGCTCTGTATATAATTTCCAAGCCCAGGCTGCACATTGAAGAGAAATGAATAACAATAGCAGACTTCCTCCCTTTCGATTCTGAGAAAGGCACAGTTAATTCTTCATCTCCAATTCAGAGACTTTGGGGGCCTGGGAGCCAGGTGACGCTGCAGAGAGCCATGGCTGCAGATCGCTCAGAGAGGAGTTCCACCGACTTGGCCCCTTGCTGGCCAAGTTCAGATATCCACTGTAGGTACAACCTTCACAAGGTTATCAACACAGACAGACCTCACTGTTAACTGAGCCAATCACAATACTCAGAATTAATCTGATTTTGGCTCAGACACATACATTTGAAATTGCTACAATCTCAACATTCCCCTAGATGCCACCCACTGCTAAATATTTTTGAAGAATTCTTATGTTACTCTTGTTTGTCCAACGTTATGCCATGTACCTTGAAGGGAAGGAAAAGAAATGTAAGGCATGACCGCTGTCCCTAAGAGGCTAATAATGTAATAGAGAGAAAGACTGTAAACATATGAAAGAAACAACAGAACGAAGAAACAAAGAAACGCAGGAGTTTAGACAAAGGAATGAGCAGGAGTCACTGGAAATCACAAAACCTCACCAAGAAGGTGGGAACTGAATTAAAACTTGACTGGATACACTGAGACAAACATGAAGAGTCATCTGATAAAAGCAAGCACCATTTCCTTTTTTCATTTATAGGGCAGAAAATATCCCCGAGCTAGAGAAGAAGGAAGATTTGTTACAATGCATGATTTTGACACAAACATTTACTGACTACCTACTATAGCGAGGCATCTCACCACTAGAGACACAAAGATAAAGAGTTAGAGAAATCGGTCTTGCCTCCAAGGAATCCACAGAAAGCAAGCAACAAGAACAAATAACCCGAGTAGGATGTAAAAACCCTATACTTGGAGTAAGAGGTATGTGCAAATACTAGAAGAGCACAAAGATGGGAAGGAGCTAATTCTGTCTGAGGGAGAAAAAGTAAAAGAAGGCATCCATGAACATGGCGTTCCACAGTAGCGGCTGGAGAAGAATGTGGGTTAAACTAGGGAGTAAAAGGGCATTCAGGCAAGAATGAACCAAAGGCAGACGAGTATGGCTGTGCACTAGTCCTCAGCTACATTTTTTCTTTTGTGGGTTTCACACGGGTTCCAGGGATCCAAGGGTCTGGTACATTTTTTTTTTTTTAAAGATTTTATTTATTTATTTGAGAGAGAGAGAGCGAGCACATGAGAGGGGGGAGGGTCAGAGGGAGAAGCAGACTCCCTGCTGAGCAGGGAGCCCGATGCGGGACTCGATCCTAGGACTCCAGGATCATGACCTGAGCCGAAGGCAGTCGCTTAACCAACTGAGCCACCCAGGCGCCCCTGGCACATTTTCTATTAAACTGGAGACAACAAGGGTTTTCACAGGTCAATATGATAAATATATTCATATATAATTAACATTTATTAAGCATACATACAGGATGCCTTATAAAATGAGCAGCCCGGCAAAGAAACCCCATCAGCATGTCCTGCTCACTTCTACCACCTTCTCGTTTAGCCCTATGGACATCAGGTAAATTTGTACCATGCTGGTGTGGTGCTATCATATCCACTGAACCCCACCCTCCCTCCACACAGATCCTCTTTCTTCCAATACAGTACTTCGCTGATTCTAAGAGCCAAGGGCCTAAAATTAAGCCATCTTCAAAATTTACTACAAAATTATGAAAAAATTACACTTTGTTTCAGTTCTTATTTTTATCATATTTGTTTGGCATAAACATTACTTAACAAACAACTGGCTTGGTGAGGCCCAAAAAACGAAATAAATTAAAAATCAACCATTTGATAGTTGAAGGCATTATTTGAAGATGTTGATAAAATTTAATTATACTATTGATAAAATTTAATTATACTACTAAAGTATTAAGACATAGTGTATTCTGTAATTCAGCTACTGGCTTGTGACAAAACAGTAAACAGTGAAAGTTTTGAAATGTACATACTTTTTTGTAATTGTTGAGATTTTAATTAAAAAGGAAGAAACTACATCCCAGCTGAAATGCAGAGTTCACAGAAATACTACATCAACAATGAAAGACTATACTGTTTTCAGAGCCAAATTATCTGCTATTATGGGGATAAATAAATCCCTTCTCCCTACTCCCGAGATAAACACAGCCGCTTCTCACCATTTTGTTAAGACAACAGTATCCTATTCTATTTGGAAATCCTGAAGCTAATGCAAAAACTTTTTTCTTACACCACGGACAAAAGGCTATGCATTCAATTTCGAGGCTATTCCTAAACTGCCTTTTTTTTTAATTGAGATAAAATTGACATATAACATCATATTAGTTTCAGGTGTACAACATAATGATTTAATATATGTATATATTGCAAAATGGTCACCTCAATAACGTCTAACATCCATCACCACACAGAGTTATGGATTTTTTTCTTGCGCTAAGAAATTTTTTTTAAAGGTATATTTATTTAATTTAGAGAGAGTGAGTGCTCAAGCAGGGTGGGGGGAGGAACAGAGGGAGAGAGAGAGAGAGAGGAAGCAGACTCCCCCGAGTGGGGAGCTTGATGCAGGGCTTGATCCCAGGACCCTGAGATCACGACCTGAGCTGAAACCAAGAATTGGATGCTGAACCAACTGAGCCACCCAGGCACCCCATGCTGGGAACTTTTAATATACTCTCTCAGCAACTTTCAAGCCTACACCACACCATTATTAACTAAAATCCCCATGCAGTACGTTACACCCCCAGGACTTAGTTATTTAATAGCTGGAAGTCTGTAATTTTTCGCCCCCTCTACCCATTTCGCCCACCCCTAAGTCCCCACCTCTGGCAGTTTAGCAATCTGTTCTCTGTGTCTACGTACACTGTTTATTTTACCAAGAAAATCTGATTACCTGAGTGCGTGGATACAGTAGATACATCTTGGCATGTTCTTTCTATCATAGATATCTGTAGTTTCTGGGTAAAAAATCTGAGGAGGAATAAAAGAAGCAGAGTAAGGTATCCATCCACTGGATCATTCACCAATCACCAATTATACAAATAAAACAATTAGAAAACATTATTGGCATTCAGCAAGTAACTTCATTAGGGGCAACAGACAATTCATCCTAAGTAATGCAAGGAATAAAATGCTATAAAACAGAATAAAAAGCACGAATTGGAAAAGCAGGTATGTGAAAGTGATTTGCTTACTGCACTCAGACATGGGCGGATGACACCCAGCTCTCGCGCAATTTAAATCATTGGCAAATGTAAGAAGCTGTGAAGGACTGCAATCTGCCCAGTTACTATCTACCATGACTAGATTCAGAAATAACTCAACAATGAACATTTACTTAGGTGCTTTGGGTTGTGTGAACTACTACATTTAAACATTGAAAAAAAGCTACAAAATACTAAAATGTGTTATATGCAGGGACACCTGGCTGGCTCAGTTGCCAGAGTGTGCAACTCGATCTCCAGGTTGTGAGTCTGAGCCCCACACTGGATATACAGATTACTTAAAAATAAAATCTTTTAAAGAACTATGTTACATGCTTGGGAGAAGAGAAAAGATACACAGATGAAGTAGCTGAAATAGAGGACATGTGCGGGAATGTGGAAGACCGGTGGTTCTCCTGGGCAGCACTTGCCACAAATAATCAATTACTTGTGTATTATCTGTTTGACTACATGCTACATGAAGGCAGGGGCCAGGTTTATGCAGTTCACTGCCATATCTTCAATGCCAAGCCCAGAGCCAAGGTCATGGAAGGGGCTCTACATTTAATGAATTAATGAATGAGGTTGAATAGGAGCATAGTAGGTTTAGACTGGGTATAATCTTGAATTTCAAAATCTATCTTCATGGTGATGTGGCACCATACAATTCATTCTATAATTTAGGGGGAAAGAAGGTGATAGTGGTCTGGGGAAGTGAAAGACTGAATTTCGAGGCTGTCAGAAGAATCTGGATGAGCAGTGAAAGGCAGTAGGAAGAGTGCTGTAGCACCGTGTGCCTGCCTGTTAGAGCCTGAACTGCCCCCTCGAGAGATGGAATGTACCAGAATCATCTTTTTTGATAATTTTTCAAACTCTGCAGGCTCAAATTCCAAGACGGAGATGCCATCATCTCCTGAAAGGTAAAGATCACAGTCGCATTGAGCCACCCTTCCCGAAAACAGTACAGAATACATTTTAGAAAGTAAAAGAAAAATATGGATGGGTAGGGTAGGATGCAATCAGATTATGAGGACCTCAAAAGTCAGACAAGTTTTGAACTTGATATGCAGGCCCTAGAGAAGTCCTAGCTCTGGAGCCAAGGATAAAAACAGAGCTCAGGAAGATCTGACTGGAGACAGGACACAGGGTACATTGAATTGTGGAGAAATTGAAACTAAGGAGGTAGTGTGATAACCTCTTTCAATAGATAAAAGAAACATTTCAAATACATGAGGAAGGCTTGGGGCATAACTACATTTAGGAGTTCAAGGTAACCTCAAGAGTCTGAGACGGGATGACTGGGGAAGTGAGGACAGGCTACCATTTAGTATAGAGGAAGGGAGGTTCACTTGGGGGAAAAGGAAGGTTTACTTTCAGATAGGAGGAATTCTAGCTAATAGAAAACTATCCAAGAACAGTCCAGCAGCCATGCGAAGACAAATGTGTTTATCTTATAGCAGTCTTCAAAATAACTGAAACCATGAGAACAAGAAGATAGTTAAATAAGGACTGCATCTTAAGGAACCCCCACCATTAGGATTATGGGAGGTAGAACACACGAGGAAGATGGAGGAGTAGCTGAGCAGATTGAAAACAATTTAAAAATCAAAGTCAAGGGGTGTGTGGCTGGCTCAGTCGGGAGAGCATGTGACTCTTGATCTTTGGGTTGTGAGTTTGAGCCCCACACTGGGTGTAGAGATTACTTAAAAAAATAAAATCTTGGGCGCCTGGGTGGCTCAGTCGTTAAGCGTCTGCCTTCGGCTCAGGTCATGATGCCAGGGTCCTGGGATCGAGTCCGACATCGGGCTCCCTGCTCAGCGGGAAGCCTGCTTCTCCCTCTCCCACTCCCCCTGCTTGTGTTCCTGCTCTCACTGTCTCTCTCTGTCAAATAAATAAATAAAATCTTTAAAAAATAAATAAAATAAAATCTTAAAAAAAAAGTCAAAGTCAAAATCACAAAATATTTCCTGGAAGAGGTGGCCAACAGGACCAATTATAATAAAAAGACAAAAGGGAGAAGAACCAAAAACTTACCACATTAAGTTTCTATAATTAGCCTATATGTACCATATTAAAATATTAGGGAAGACATCCCTGTGAACACTATATTTGTATGGTCAATTATATATCCTACATTATATTATGGGTAACAATTTTTAGGCTAAGTATCTTTAGTCCACATTACTCAAGTCTTCTGGACCTAAATCATGTAGGGTGGACATTTCAAGGCTGATAACCATGATAGCCCTATTGTCCCTGAAAGCCTTTAGGGGAAGTCTATGTTTGTTGCAGTTGTGGTCCAGGATAATATACTACCATTAGTAAACAAGAAAAGTAGTAAAATTAAAACATTAAAAAAGCATTTGGAAGTAACAATACTACTAGTAATAGCACATATTAACAAAGCTCTTAGTACCATTTAAAAGAGGTTAAATCATCATTGCCCATCAGGCTTACTACATAAGAAACAGGTACAAGAAGATACAGGTGCACAGAAAGGCCAAGTAGGTGTAAGAACTTGACACACTGCATTTCCTGACATGTGTGGGCCTAATTCTCAAACCTACCAGTGTGAGAAAGAGAGCTTCAGCACTTTGCTCTGAAAAAAAGAGGACAAAGGCTAGTCTTCTGCAGACTTGGCTCTGGATTTAACTCAATTCAAAACAAAGATCTGCAAAACTGAGCTCGGCACTTATGCTAATACCAAATGTTCACCTCCCAGTGATTCTAGCCATTTTCTGATCCTCCCCAACTCACTTTTTTCAATCTTTCTTTGGTTACAAAAATGCAGACTCTACAGGAAATTATAAAATAAAAAAAAAGAAACTGCCCCTTAATCCCATCACACAGAAATGAAAACTATTATCTCCTTACAGACTTTTCCCAAGAATACTCACTTTTACATAAAAATAGCGCTCTCACCTTAGCCAGAACACAAACTCTTATAACCTTAGCCTGTTTGGGTTTTTCCCCCCCACTTAACCCCTCACAGACAACTTCATTTGTCAATACAGATTAGTATCACCCTTTCTAATGGCTGTACTAGTGTTCGACTGGCTGCAGCACAGTTAATGCCCCCACTGAAGGAACATGTGGTTGCTATCAATTTCTTCTATTCGAAGCAATGCTGAAATTTTCGGGCTTGTCTGATTTGGGGGGCGGGATAAATTCCTAGAGGTAGAATTCCTAAGTCAAAGGATATGGAAAACAAACAAGATGCCCACGCCTCTAGGAGTTGACAATATAGCATGGCCTTGAGGGTTCAGGATAGGACCGGGCCGGGGCGGCGAGGAGGGGGGCGGGGTGCGGAGGCTAGAGATGGCAATTTCACTAAGAGTGGTGCTAAATAAACTAAACTCCTGAGCAGAACACTGGAGGATACACACTCACTCCAAACCCACTTAACTGTACTCATGCAGGTTCTGCATACCAATTGTACCTCAAGAAAGACATTTTAAAGAACAGAGACTACAGCCGTCACCAAAACAAGATATGAGAAGTAACTACCATCATATTGCCTCTGCAATTTGAAACATAAAATAATAGCCCATCATGCTCTCTTACAGATAGGAGTATTCTGCAGCTGGAAAATGACACTTTTAAAATATTTCCTAAAGTCAAATTTTAATGTAACAACTTTGTGAATAAATAAAATAAAAACACGGACTTGTATACTTTAAAAAGGTGGATTTCATGGCATGTGAATTTTAATGTAAGTCTACAATTTGATGTAGTAAAAGTCAATGATATCATAGGGAATTTCTCTAGGGTGAGGTGAAGCAGGGAAAAAGAGAAAGAACAAAACTACTCCCTAAAACAAACAGAAGAAAGAGATCCTTTAGTACTTAAAAAAAAAAAAGAAAGAAAGAAAGTCATCAAAGATTCAGTTGAGAATAATTTTACAGGCAGAATGAGAACTATGTGCCAAAATAGCCTAATCTAAGCCAGAACTCTGAATATCACGTAGGTTACCTTAGGCAATCCAATCTCATCCATGGCATTCAACCACTGAATCACATTATCAGTATGTCTAAAGTGCAGGCCAGTTGCCTAGAACAAATAAGAGACAATTAGGCACTGTTGGCAATACTGAAGCAAATACTAAAGACTCTCTTTGCAAAAGTTTCCTTACAAGACTTTGCAAGGTCCCCTTAAACTGAAGGTCTATAGCATTATGTTCACATTCCAATCCTAAAAAGCCGAATCCACATCTCAGCTCCCTTCACTTGAGAACCATCTGGAGAATCTTCCTGTATAATCTGCTCTACAGAACACGGTCTTTGAAATTCAACTATCCTGGATTCAATCCCTGGCTTGGCCATCTACTGGTGACACTGAGCAAGTCGCTTCACCTCTTTGAGCTTCGTCATCTCGAACACTTACTCTACATGTTTGTTGTAAAGATGAAATGGGAAAATGTACATAAAACACTCAGGGTGGTATCCGGCATGTAGAAAATACAAACTGACATATACCATTAAATATATCAATCAGGGTTTTCATACTACACACACAAATATCCCCCTCTAAACCTCTAGGTCTGTTATTTTACAGAAAGATTTACTCTCCGGAGGGGAAGAGGGGCAGGACTAATGTTTCTATTGCCACACAGTCCCCACTCCTGTTTTAAATGTGTTGTTGCTCGGGGCACCTGGGTGGCTCAGTCAGCTGAGCATCTGACTCTAGGTTCTGGCTCAGATCATGACCCAGGGTCATGGGATCCAGCCCCGCACTGGGCTCCGTGCTCAGTGGGGAGTCTGCTTAAGATTCTCTCCCTTTGCCCTTCCCCCTGCTCATGCTAGCTCGCTCTCTCTCTAAAAATAAATCTTTTTAAATGAATGAATGAATGGCTTGCTGCTCTGTCCCATATTGTACAGCGCTCCACAGAACAGCTCCAGAATTCTCTTCAGAAAAGGAAAGTTTCGGGGCGCCTGGGTGGCTCAGTCGTTAAGCATCTGCCTTCGGCTCAGGTCATGATCCCAGGGTCCTGGGATCGAGTCCTGCATTGGGCTCCCTGCTCAGCGGGAAGCCTGCTTCTCCCTCTCCCACTCCCCCTGCTTGTGTTCCCTTTCTCGCTGTGTCTCTCTGTCAAATAAATAAATAAAATCTTAAAAAAAATAAAATAAAAAAAGAAAGACAAGTTTCTCTTTGGGATGTTAATTTTGGTGGAGGACCTACATCTTCCTGGTTGTCCTTTGACTATAAACATAAAACTTAAAAACCTCTTTTGATTCTGTCTTCGTCCTTAGCTCATTCCAAGTTCTGGCCCAACTCCTACAGTCAACACGCTCACATCTACTCTTGGTTTTACAAGCTTCCACTATCTTTTACACTCATCCTTTTCCAAATAGCTGCTCACAGGAAAGCTCCCCCACAACAGATTCTGGTCCTTGTCAACATCCCAACTTCATTTTTCTTTTTAAGGGCCCTGGGCCACAAGAATCAAAGCCTCTCACTTACCTCAATTTCCTGAAATTGGATTGCTTTCCCAATTTACCTCGAATTTTAACATCACAGAGGGACCTTTCTTCCCACTACAGTTGCATTGCTACTGCTTTCAATTTGCCAACGCATCTCAGTGCTTGGTTAAAATTAAAGTTGTAATTTCCCCCTAGTTACTTCCTCTACCTTCTAAGAAATACAACAAAATCATCAAGGACCGTGAAGATTTCTAGACATACACCATCATAGGAATTGTATCAAAAATGCAGACAGCCACCTTTTACTACTATACCTGACTCTGCACTACCTTCTCCACTCTACCACGTGTTTTATTTTGATGAACAAACACACTCATACATATTTCTCAATAACTCTGGTACAGGATAAAGTCCACTAACTTTCTCTTTTAAGTTTATGGAAATTTAAGCCCCAAGCAAGGAAGGCCTCACCTTGTATCTGGTCTGCTCTCGATCGTAAATTTTCTTCAAGGACACCACTTTAGGTGAGAAGAAATTTCCCAGTTTGGCGAGGTAGACCCCATTCCTCAGCCCCTCCTCCAGCTCTGTGGTGGGAGGCAGGTCTTCACCAAGGCATGCTTCCATCCACCTGCACAAAAGCAGAGAGGACAGGAGAAGAGAGGGAAGGTCAGATCCTCTCCTTAAGAGATTTTGAGCCTCGTTTCTATTCTCCTTGCAGGAGTTTAAGTTCCACGTAAGCGACACTCTTTTAAGACCCAATTTCACACACACCCTTGTCCTGACCCAGTCAGATCTCAGAAGTGGGGAACTTAGGAAAACTCCTGAGCATGAAGGCCACCTTCTTCTCTACCCTGCTTTCCTCCCCTGCGGCGGCAGAACCAGCTGGCTCCCCACCCACATGTGCCCAGAAACCCCGGGCCCTAACCCTAAGTTACTCCTGCAGAGAACGCCTAAGAAAAGCCATGTGTAGCTGAAGCCAGCACTTCAACTGTTCAAAAATGTAAATGTATGTTCTCTTCCAGTTTCAGAATCCACAGAGAATTTCTAGGTTCAGATTTTAAGGCTGTTTGGGGATTACATGAATAGTCAATTATCTCAGCTAAAATAGGGAAGGAAATGCCAATGGAAGCAGTAAGAATGAATGGATGTTTTTCAGAGGTGGGGGAGAAGGTTGTAAAGGGGAAAAGAAAACTGTATTTTCCCCCAGAACAGAGGCCCAAGATAAAACAACACACATCTGCGTATATTTCCTACCAATAGAAATTTAGGTAACTAAAAATCATTTAAGGCGATTTTTTTTAATTTGAGAGAGAGCAAGAGGGGGGGGGGGGGGGGGGGCTGCGGGAAGCAGACTCCCTGCTGAGCAGAGAGCCTGATGCGGGGCTCGATCCCAGGACCCCGGGATCATGACCTGAGCTGAAAGCAGATGCTTAACTGAATGAGCCACCCAGGCACCCCGTATGCATTTTTATGTAATTCTTGTATTTATAAATTGCTTGAAGGATATATAGCAGACCTTAGATTTATGGTATTTCTAGAAATTGTTACTTTTATAATTCATAATAGATTTTCTTGTATTAATTCTAACTTTCCAAACTGAGATTACTGCTCAGAATTTTTACAACACAGTATAAGGAAAAGCAACAATTTCCCTGTGTTTCTCAAGTTGTATAAATAGTCATAGTATGTATTTAAATAAATACTGGCCGGGTGTATGCATGGGCCAGAGAATTTTCTGATTGTTCCCTATACCCAATGATAGTAAGTTTTTACCTCTGGCTTTTCTTTCAGGTCATAGAACTTAAATGATCACGTCGGGGGCTGGGGGGGGACAACAAATGAGTTTTCCAGAAGAGTTGCCATAGTAGTTAAATTAGAAACCAAATGGTAAGAGCTACAAAATCCAAACCTCTGCAAGAGCCCAAAGACCAGAAGGGCAATGTGGAAAGGAATGTAGGTCGTCGGTATGGAAAACAGTTGTAGTCCAAGGATATATCTTCTATAATCAGCCCTCCAATATTTTATTGCTAAAAAGGATATGGCAAACAGCTCCTGGAAACCCCAGCTCTCAGGGGACAGTCTAACTTGTGTTCTCATTAACAGAAACAAACCTAGAACAACTGCAGTCTAAGCCAAAAACAGCCCTTTACCATGTAATGAGGAAAAAAATTACTTATTTTCTCCTCAAAACAAGGTAAACATCTAGGGAAGACTGTGGATAAACAGCACAGTGCATGCTTTTGCCTTGAATCAGAGCTAGTTACCAAAGGCATTTCGGTTCTCCTCTGAGATCATTACATCAAAATCAAAGTAAAAGGAGGGACCACGGGGTGACATCTCCCACAAGCCTTTATCCACGCCTTCTCTAGGCAAACTGCTGTAAAACAGTCCTGATTAACAGCTAGACTTAGAAGTTTTGTATAGTGGAACAGAATACCTTGCACATCACAGAAATGTCAGGCCAGAAGAAGAGTCAATTGTGATCTGATGAAAAGGGGTAAGGGAGAGCTAGAATAAATAGGCAAAATACAGAAGTGTCTTTCAGCTGCCCCAAACCCCAAAACTGCCCTCCAAATTACCACACACGGGGTGGTGACCTCTGTCTGTCTCACAACAGAGTAACACCTGGTTCGTTTTTAAGAATAAGTTAAAAAAAATAAAACAAAGTAAGTTAAATCAGGACCAAATTGCTTTGAAAAATTAAGCGTACTAAGTAGGGTGCTATGTTACTCTAATTTTTAATATTAGCAGAAGTCTAGATTCTACTATAATCCCAAGAAGATACAACAAACCCTCCTTTCTGTCCGCTACAGCCCATCTGAGATTCCCCCTCTGACACTAAACCACAGAATCACAAGATGATAGCCAGGAACTTAAAGCACTTCTAGGGTAAATCCCTTTGGTGGTTTGTTTTTTTTTTAATAATAATAATATGTATTCATTAGAGAAAATTATTAGACACTTCTCAATATTTTGTGAATATTTTCCATGTTATTATATAATTTCTGAAGACTAAGTTACACAAAAATTCTACCAAGTGCTTAACTGGTCACCTCTGTTGGACTCATGTCACTTCCAAAGAGTTTCAACTATTAAATAACACCGCAAGAACATCTTCGTGCACAATGTTCTGCTGTATTTAGAATTAATTCCTAAGGAAAGGACCTTAGAAGTCTAATTCCAAAATAAAAAAATTATAAACATTAAAGAAACTTTTTTTATTGTTCAAAAGTTTACCCAAAGGCTATACCTACTTGTACAACTTTCTCATTTTACAAGTATAAGGTCTATCTATCCTAGGTCAACTACTAGCAAGTGGCAAAGGCAGAATAACAGGACCCTGATTCCCAGTTAAGAATCCTCTTCACTAGACCACTGTTGCTCTTACCACGTCACTCCAAAAACCTAACAGGGCTGAGCCCCACAGGGTGGAATAAACAAGGCCAAGTGTCAGATATCCCATACAGGAAAAAGTCTAGTATCGCTCCACATTCTGTCCACTAAATAGGGTTTTAAGTATTTTACTTTAAGTCCACACTGATTTTCAACTCAGACACAAAACTTCCTTATAAAACACAAGCATTTAATTTAGCTTTGTAAATATGTATTTTTTTTAAGATTTTATTTCTAAGTATTCTTTATAACCAATGTGGGGCTGAAACTTAGAACCCCGAGATCAAGTCACATGCTCTACACCAGGTGAGCCAGCCAGGTGCCCCTTGCTTTATAAATACATTTTTTTTTTTTAAAGATTTTACTTATTTATTTGAGAGAGAGAGAATGAGAGAGAGAGAGCACATGAGAGGGGGGAGGGTCAGATGGAGAAGCAGACTCCCCGCCAAGCAGGGAGCCCGATGCGGGACTCGATCCAGGGACTCCAGGACCATGACCTGAGCCGAAGGCAGTCGCTTAACCGACTGAGCCACCCAGGCGCCCTATAAATACATTTTTAAATAAATCTATGCACAGATCCCTACCTTACACCTTTTACAAAAATCAACTCAAAATGGATTACACTTGAAGGGAAAGATGTGGAGAAAAGAAAACCAGTGTGCACTACTCGTGGGAGTGTAAACTGGCGTAGCCAGGAAGGAGAAATGTGGAGGCTCCTTAAAAAATTAAAAATAGGACTACATATGATCCAACAATCCCAATTCTGGGTGTACAGTCAGAGGAAATGAAAGCAGGCTGTCAAAGAGATATCTGCACTCCCATGTTCACTGCAGCATTATTCACAGTAGTCAAGACAAGGAAACGAGAAGTGCCCAACCACAGATGAATGGATACAGAAGATGTGACACACACACACAATGCACACACACTGGCCTAGCATTTAGCCATGAGAAAGAAGGAAATCTTGCCATCTGTGGCAACAGAGATGAATCCGTGGGCATTATACTGGGTATAATGCTTATATATAACTGCTTATATATAAAATCTAAAAAAAAAAAATCTCATAGAAACACAGTCGAAAAGTAGTTGCCATGGGGTAAGGGGTAAAGGAAATAGGGAGAGGCTGGCAAAAGGGTACACATTTTCAGCTGTAAGAGGATAAGGTCTGGGGCAATGGGTGGCTCAGATGGTTAAGCGTCTGCCTTCGGCTCAGGTCACGATCCCAGGGTCCTGGGATTGAGTCCCACATCGGGCTCCCTGCTCAGTGGGGAGCCCACTTCTCCCTCTCCCTCTGCCGCTCCCCCTGCTTGTGCTCCCTGGCTCTATCTGTCAAATAAACAAATAAAATCTTAAAAAAAAAAAAAAAAAGAGGGTAAGGTCTGAGGCTCTAATGTAAAACATGGTGACTATTGTTGATCACCATGTTTGTGTAACTGAAATTTGCCAAGAGAGTAAGAATTTGAGTGTTCTCACAAAAACAAAACCTAAACCTTTCATAATGTATACATATAACAAATTACCACAATGTACACTTTTTTGTACACTTTAAATACCCTACAATTTTATATGTTAATTATACCACAATAAAGCTAAAATTAAAAAGTAAATAAACCTAGGGCGCCTGGCTGGCTCAGTTGGTTAAGCATCTGACTTAGACTCAGGTCATGATCCCAGGGTCCTGGGATGGAGACCCAAGTGGTCGGGCTCCCCGCTCAGCAAGGAGTCTGCTTCTCCCTCCGCCCCTCCCCCAGCTTGTGCTCTCTCTCATTCACTCATTCTGTCTCTCAAATAAATAAATAAAATCTTAAAAAAAAAAAAAGTAAATAAACCTACATATGAAAGAAAAATCAATGGCCAACACAACTTTCTGCCAAGTCTTATGTTCATCACTCTAATCACAGAATCCCTCGGGTGGAAAGCTCACTAAAGATCTCCTCTACCCTAACTCCTCCACTCCCTCCACCTCCCACCCACTCCCCCACTTTCGTGACTGAATGTTTTCAAATCCTCTCAGCCAAATCATGCCATAGGCTGAGCCTGACCACTGCTGCTGACGTGGAACCAAACATTCAAGTTAACTCATTTCATTTCTGGATTCTAGCAGCCAGAAGTTTTTATTAAGCCAGCACCAGTTCCCCTTTGGCACCCTAAGCTGCCTTGTGGAGCAAGACAACATATGGAATGAAAAATATAATGTGGCTGTGATAAGCACCGGGTGTTATATGCAACTGATGA